CAGCCAAGATACGACCGCTTCTCACCACCCCCGTTGCTACCACCTTGGTCTCAGCCACCTGCGTATCTTGCCTGGATTCCTATATCAGCCTCCTTAACTCATCTTCCAGCTTCTGCTCTTGCTCTAGAGTTTTTCTATTGGTTTCCGAATTTTGCTGTGCATTAGACTGACCTGAGGAGCTCGTATTTTTATTTTTATTTCTTGTTAATTCATGAGTTTAATTAATGTCTATTCATGGTGGAAATGTGTTTCAAAGGCTAGTAGTGGCTGAATCAGGATTTCAACCCACTCAGTTAATTCTAGAGCCTTCACCCTAGTTATCATGGTTTAGTGATTACCTACAACGTAAATATGCTAAATAGCTGACAGTTGTATCACACCTCTAATGTGCTGGGCACTCTTACAGATATTAACTCATTCAGTCTTCATGGCAATCCTGTGAGGTCACTTGTACTTTTATCCCATGGTAAGAAGGAGTAATCTGAGGTCCAGAGAGGTTAAGGAGCTTCCTAGACTCACACAGTTAGTAGGTGGTGAGTTTGGATTGAACCCATGTAATCTGGCTCTAGAGCATGCATTTTTAACTGGGGTAATATTGCCACCAAGGGCACATAATTTGTCCTTAAGAGGATGAAAAATTTTTACTCATTTTCTGTATATGACACAGATATACTACTTTGGTTTGAATAATCATTCCCTTTAAAGCCTATATTGAAGTGTCGTCCCCATTGTAACAGTATTAAGAGGACGGGAAATCTGACTATGGTATTTAAAACATGGGGACCTTTCAAATGGCATTTGAAATGTGATTAGATGACGAATCGATTAACTCATTCATGAATGAATGGGTTGTCATGAGAATAGACTAGTGGCTTTATTAGTAGAGGTGGACACGCCCTTGCTCCCTGTCGCCTTGTGATGCCCAGCACAACCTCCGATGCGCCCTTTCCACCTTGGACTTCCCAGCCCTCAGAACTGTAAGAAGGCATTGATTTCAGACTGGAAAACAAAACCGATGGGTCCTCCGTGGACACTGGGAAAAGCGAGTGGGATAGAAAAGTGTCCTGGTGGCAGCCAGGAAGTGAGTGGTCTTCAGGGTACATAAGAGAAATGTTTAGGAAGGATGTAGGGTGATTCATATGTCCACACAGACTTAAGTGTGGCCGCATGACTGTGGGTGGATGGTAGGTAGGACACACAGAATCCAGGTAATGGTGAAGGGTGGGAGAGGACAGAATGAGCCACTGAATCAGGTGGCCGTGGGGAAGAGTGTGGAGGAGACACCCTCTCCTTGCCGTGTGATCCCTCAGAATTGAACAATGAGGAGTGAGGCAGGTCTGTTTGGAAGGCTCTGAAGGGGTGCTAAGGAACTGTCCCCTTTTCTAACCAGGGCACCTTGGCCTCCCTCCACTCCCAGAGGTGTCAGGTTGGGCCATTGTGATGTCAAAGCCACCCCTCCCTGGACAGGGCTAGAGGGGCTGGGGGAGGGGCTTGCTGAGCAAACAAAGCCTAGGGTGTGGCTGCTCATTGTCCTGGGCAGGGTATATATAGGGGGGCCGGGGGCCCTGGGACAGACCACTGGGCAGTGCTGACATGGCGGAGGAGAGCAGGACACCACAGCCCACCAGAAACACCAAAGCGGGGAAGGAGAGGAAGACCCCCTGTCCACCCAAGTCCAGAGGAAAGGGCAAGGTGAGATGAGCACCCAAGCTCCTTCTCATCTTCCCCTTGACCCCTTTCTCCCAAGACCCCTCCCCTGTCCTCGCCTGGCACAACCTCCCTCAGCCCACACTCCTTCCCAGGGAGCCCCTGTTCCCATGCCTCCTGCGTCCTCTTCCCCCAAACAGTTGCCCTTCTGTGATCGCCCTGTTGTCCTTCCAGGCGCCCAAGACAACCTTGAAGCTTAAAAGACCCCTCCAAGGGATTCTGAGGAAAAAAGCTGCTGCAAAAATGACCACCCTCTCAATTCAACCCCCAAAAGGGAAAAAGCCAAAACTATTCGGCCACTATCACCAGCTGAATAAGGAACTGCAGCAAAATGAGCCAGGACAAAAAGGACGAGGAGGTCCCCAGCACCTCAAGGGACGAAGAGACCCCCAGCACCTCGAGTGACGAGGAGATGGCCCAGCACCTCACGTGGCGACCTGGGCAGCTGCTAACTTAAGAGTGACACCAGAGACCTGAAAACTATCTGCAGGTCTCCAGAGGGCTGGCTGCCAGGTCATGGCAAGTATATGTTACACCAGCAGCACACGATGGTGGCAAGTAAAATAAAATGTTCCCGTTGTGACATAAAGTGTGTGTGTGCATGTTCTGTGAGGTGGGAGGGGGAAGGAAGGGAAGAGGCAGGTGTGGGAGGGGAGGGAGGGAGCTGGGTCCTGCGGGGTTGGCGTCAGACAGACAGGTCCACTGTTTGCCAGACACAGAGGATAAAGGCTGGGTCAGGACAGAGAAGTGACAAGTTTCCTGCTTAACACCTTGTCCCACGGGGGAAGAGAAATAGGATGTTATTTCTGAGTGTGGATGCAGGGGCATAGACCTAGCTGGGGAGAGGTGAGATGTGTGCAGTGACACCGTCACGCCCAAAAAGTCACACAAAGTAATTGCCTCCAGGCCACATACCTCATAGTGGCCTTTGCTGTATCCAAACCTATGATGTAAGCAACCAATGGCCCTCTGAAATACCCAGAACCTTCCCACTCGTAATCACTTGCAGCACTCTAAAGTACTAAAGTGAAGGTGTTTCGACATCACAAGTCCAACACTGAATTGGCCATGTTTTTGCTAAGAAAACGTGAAATGAAGTAGTTGGCTACCAAAGATGGGGCAATGGGAGTGAGTCACCCCAACTGTAAGCGATAAAGGGGAGCCGTGTCAGCAGACAGTTATTTTAATTCAACTTTTTATTTTGAGAAAAGTGTAGGTTCACATGCAGGTGTAAGAACTATTACAGATAGATTCTGTGTGCCTTTTAGCCTCACACCCCTCATGATAACATCACGCAAAACTACAGTACAATATCACAATCAGGATTAACAACGAGACGGTCAAGATGCAGAACATTTCCATCACCAAAGGGTACCCCATGTCGCCCTTTTAGGGACATACCCACTTCCTTCCACACCCAGCCCCTCCTCACGTCCTGCCAGACACTAACCTGTTCTGCATTTTTATAATTTTATC